AAAAAAATTTTTTTTTAATATTAATTATTCATAGAAGATAGAGAAATGATACTCTTTTAGAGGCTGGGAGGTCAGGTGAATGTAAGAACACACCCTAGCATTTTTTGAGTTCGATTCTTCAGAATGAAGCATTCGTCCCACACTTGGTTTCACAGATGCCTAGCACTACCTACTCTGGGCACATGCTGGATTTGGTTATGAAATGGTGAACAAGACATACTCTTTAACCCTATCATTTGAGTTTAAGTAGAAGGGGGCATTTTAAGTACCTTGTTAGGAAGGTGCAGGTAGTTTGGGGGAAAACCTGTGAATTTAATTTGTGATATTCAAGACCTCCACGTTCTGTGTTTTGTTTTTTTTCCTACGGCCTCCAGATGATGGTGGCATGCTGACCTGTTGAACTGTAGGGCTGTTGTGAAAACTGACAAAAAGTAAGCTGTTATTCATATCCTCTTTATTACTGTTAGTTTTTCCAGTGGTGACTAGATACGTGGGAAGATAAACAGTGACCTTATAGCCATCCATTTATAGCAAGGTCTAATAGATTGTGGCCACTTTTTTTTTGTATTGCCTTGCTTTGTTACATAAACTTCTCCATTATGCCTGGACTTGGGGTAGATCAGATAGATCAGGATATAGAATGAGTGCTATTAAATCAATAGTGGATCACTTAGGTCAGCCAAGGCCACTTCTCCTGAGGCCTGCCCTTTTTCTTGATCACAATGGACTTATTGATTTCAGCAGTTGCCTTTTCTTTAACTTAGAATTTGTTATCATGAAAATGATCCACAGTGGTAACCACTAAAAGGACCTGGACTCTTAATTAGGACAGTAACACATAATACTCTGGCCTTTAAACAAAGCAGAAGCTCACATGACTTTTTTAGTTAAATTTGTGTCATTTTACTCTGTATATAAGTCCCGAAATTAATCTTCATGCTATCAAGACATCTGTTTTAAGTCTGTAATGGAGGTATCCTCTTGTCCATTTGAAAGATAGTTTAAAAAAAAAATCTCATTTAGACAACCTTATTCTTCTCAAAACAGCTAGCCAAATAGAAATCCAAGCTAAACTTGTTATCAAGGTTACTATCAAAACTTTGTGACAAGCAAGCTCTAAAGTTTTTGAAGAATTGCCTGCTAAGTGGTCTGTTAATTGGATTATTTTATGGAGTGATATAATGCTTCGTTCTAGCTAGGAGACATGTCATCATCACTAGCTATCAGGGCTCCCAAGCTATTGTCTTCAACACCCCCAATGATCACATGGAGATCTAGGGAAAGTATTACTCTTTAGAATCCATTGGAATTTAAAAACTGTAAAGTTGTATAAGCTCTAAAGTTTTTGAAGAATTGCCTGCTAAGTGGTCTGTTAATTGGATTATTTTATGGAGTGATATAATGCTTCATTCTAGCTAGGAGACATGTCAGCATCACTAGCAATCAGGGCTCCCAAGCTGTTGTCTTCAACACCCCCAGTGATCACATGGAGAACTAGGGAAAGTATTACCCTTTAGAATCCATTGGAATTTAAAAACTGTAAAGTTGTATGGTCAGTAATGAGTAACAATTCAGTCACTCCACAGCTCAGCATGCACGGTCCAGCCACACTACAGAGCTGAGTCTTGTCCTCGGTTTCTGTGTCACATGCACCACTGACTGCCAGATCCTTTGGCTTGAGAATTTAGTCATTTGCTGGAAATTGAGCTTTTGAATTTTGTAGGCTTTTTTTCTCCTCATTTAAAAATATTTAAATGATGTTGCCCAAAGGGCTCATGGAGACACAGCATGGCTGACTTTTGGGAAATTAGTGAGCAGGATAGCTATTTTTAGCTTTTACTCCTTCCTTGCAAACATTTCCTTTTGTTCTTTAGAGAACATTTTGATTTGTTCATTCATTGGCAGTGCTCTCCCCTATGACAGGCTTTTGCATAGAATAAGCCTCTCTTCTCTAGTCTGGGTGATATAACTATGTTGATTCTTATTTGTCCGGTTTTAACTCTTAACTCATGAGTTACTCATTTGTTCTTTTTTTTCCTGGATGTGAGCAGACCCTTCCCTCAATACACACACACACACACACACACACACACA